ATTTTCATTTCTAGTAAAGTCTCTCACTTCCAAATTTAAGGGAGATCGTTTTCCTGGTCTGTCAGTTCAAGGGAACAATAAATAAAGTAGAAAAGGAAGAGTTCTTTTGCATATTCTGTGTGAGAACGGAACCATTATATTTGCGGAGGTGCGGACGCAGAGCCTCCGGCCACGGCTCCTCTATTCTTGTCCAAACCCCTCGGTCTCTTCTATGGCAAAAAGCAGCTTTTCCTTCAGTTGCTCGTAACTCTTATACGGTGGCAGGTCCAAGCGATTGAAACTGAACAGAGAGAACCAGATTATTCAGTCAAGTGAGCCGAGGGTAGGTCTAGCACAGTGTCCTTGAAGCACATTAGGAAAGGACAGGGTGGCCAAGTGTACGACATAGACCTCATGTATTAACACAGACACCGTCTGACAGTGGTCTGTTCCCTTCCAGTCCACACAGGCTGGCCCTGCAGTGGCCCTGCCTGCGTTTCCGCCCCCTCCACCCTCTGCCCTGCTCCACTCCCAAGTCACCTCATGTTTGCAGTTGCTTACGTCAGGGTTTGCAAACAGCCCTTGTACAAAACATGTGCTTCCTGCGTCTCCACAGCCCACTGTCCATCAAACTGGCAAGGCCCTGCGAGGGTCCTGCCCGGGCCGCTGTCGCCGCTGTCACCGCCTCCCTAGCACTGCTGCCTGGCTGTTGTCTGTGCGCCTTTCCCAGGAGCGGACAGGAGCGGGAGGAGGAGCCCGTCGGCCTGTGTGTGGGCAGTGGCTGCTCGCCCGCGGGCTCAGGCAGGGCCATGCTTCCCAGGCGCTCAGCCAGGAGCCACGCTGTGCTCTCTGCAGGGCGCTGCGTCCTGGTCTGTTCTCAAAACGGAACTCCGCCTATGCTAATGAATCAGCAATGCTAATGGGTCTTACATGTAAAAAAGCAAAACACTGGCTTCCACCTTCCATTTAGGATTCAACTTACCACGTATGGCTTCTTGGTAACCAGGTGTCTTTCCCAACTTTTTCAATGCAAAACTTTTGAGGCCCGTTACTTCCTAAACCAGAAAAATAAGACAAAATTTATCTGGTCCTTCAAACCTTTCGGTGTTGCAACTAGTTACCTAACAGAACATGTCACGTGGTCACGCGGGTGATGGAGCAAGCGTCACATCTACACAAAGACCAGGATCTGGAGGCCTGCTCCCTCCCCCGCCTGCGCACGCCCTGTGACAGGCCCTGTGACAGCGCCCACAGGCGGCACTCACCCATGAGCTCGGCGAAGCCCCCCAGGGGCAGGCGGCAGGTCCCCGTGACGAACTGCAGCAGGCGCATCCTCACCTCATTGTCCGTCTCCTTCACAAACTAACAGGTCAAAGTTAATGTAAAGTAAATTCCAGATTACCTTCAGTAATGAACGTAGTAGATCCTTAAAAATTATTCCCGAATTTCTTGCAGAAAATTAAGAGTGAACTTCAAGCCCAGCCCGGCACTCAGTGGCTGAGTGTGGACCCGTAACTAGGAGGTCATGGTTTGGTTCCTGGTCAGGGCACATCCCTGATTGCAGGCCCAGTGTGGGGTGTGCAGAAGGCAGCCGATCTGTGATTCTCTCATGGATGTTTCTCTCCCTCTCCCTTCCTCTCTGAAATCAATAAAAATATATTTCAAAGTATTTTTAAAAAATGAACTCCAAGAATAAGAAAATTTAACTCAAGTTGGTTCAAAAGATAAGTGATTGCCGAAACCGGTTTGGCTCAGTGGATAGAGCGTCAGCCTGCGGACTGAAAGGTCCCAGGTTCGATTCCGGTCAAGGGCATGTACCTGGGTTGCGGGCACATCCCCAATAGGAGATGTGCAAGAGGCAGCTGTTTGATGTTTCTCTCTCATCGATGTTTCTAACTCTCTATTTCTCTCCCTTCCTCTCTGTAAAAATCCAATAAAATATATTTAAAAAAAAAAGTGATAAAAGTGGTTGCAGCATTTACCACTTATTAGGGCTGGCGCTGTGCTAGCAACACTACAGAGACGTGGAAGCTTAGAAACACCATCGCGGGACCCAGGTTTATCCCCCTCTGGAGGGGAGGTCCTGCCGCACAGCGCCATGTGTTTCTGGGGAGCGCGGCCCTCAATACTGGGAGCGGGTCCTCGCGTTAGCATCTCCACTGCACTCGCCAGACAAGGCCCAGGGGCAGAATGATGTGTCCTCCTCCAACACCAGGAAGGGGCAGGAGTAACCTCTGAACCACGGCCCTGCCGGTTCAGGACCACTTCCCAACACCGATCCCCTTTGTCCTTCAGACTGGGAAACCCAGAGTGTTCGAGTTTACCAACCACAGAGCAGCAAGGTACGGCCGCCCCTCTGAGCTGGTCTCACCAGAGGTGGGAGCAGACACCTGTCAATCCAGCCACTGTGTGGCCGTGCACAGCTGTGTGGCCGACATACTCATCAGACAAGGAACCGCTGTGGGCAGCTCTGGCGTAAACCTCGCACTGTCCCCGACACCAGCCCCATCCAGGAAACAGTCACGGGGCCTTAGGAAGCCTGGGCTCAGCTCCTCAGGCCTAGACGACAGGCGCAAACCAACGGCTGGAATGAGCCTGAGGGATGACCAAGGCTGCCTGGCGCTCAGGGCAAGGGTCACAGGGGGCAAGGGCAGTCGCCCCCTCAGCCTCAGCTGCCTGCTCCCATCCCCCGAGGCTCCTCTGCAGGAGGGTCCTTTGAGCCAAACACTACCATCCTCCCCCCAGGCTCTGCACACTGTCTCCAGTGTACCTGTCCCGCTGCACTGAGGAGCTGCTCCAGGCAGAGCGCTGAGAATGGGCAAGTTAATTTGCTCAGCCCCCTCCCCACACTCTCAGGGTCACCTCTGCGGAGTGTGCCAATCACGCTGCAACAAATGCTCTGGGAGGTGCCATTGTGCACGTAAAAATGTATCTTTAAGATCAATTTCTACAAGTGTCCATGTCTGCAAAGTATTAAGCAGTAAACACGTGACCCCAAGCCCTTAGGACAGTCTTTCTCTAGTAACACAAGCACCGGGGCCGGAGCAGGACAGCAGCCCAGTCTGGGGCTCGGTGAAGTCTGTCCCGGTGCCGACGCTTTATATTTTGAAATACACACAAAACAAAAGTCTATTCAAGATCAGGATGTGGGACGTGGATGCCCGAGAAGAGGGGAGAGCCCCCTGCCCTGTGGGCGCTCTAACTCTGAGCACACGGTCACCTCGTGTCACCTAAGTGTCCCCAGACTGTCTCATAACCACCTCCTCCTGCGCCCACAGAACCTGGAAGAGACTGAAGTCTGACGGGCTCCAGCACCGTCACAGAGACTCGGGGCCTGTGACTCACTCATTCTCACCCAGGACACAGCCAGCTTGACCGCATGGTCGCACTGGTCACGTCTGAAGCCAGCTGCAGTTAAACCAGTTTCACTAGAATGCACCCCGAGGACCGTTTTAGAAAGATAAGCAGTCACCTGCCAAAACCAGACGATCTGCTTGCTGTTGCGGGTGTAGTGCCGGTACACGGTGTTCCTCTGCCAGTCGGACAGGTCCACCTCCTGCATGCCACACAGCATCACCTGGGGGCGAGGCTCCGTCAGGCCACCGACACGCCGCAGCCTCGCAGCCTTTTATCCGGCAGCGTCTGCACGAGCTTGGCCGTGCTGACTGAGCCAGAGCAACTTCAAGAAAACAGTCAGCTATGCTGCAAGGGCACCTCCACTACTGTCAACGCCCTAAATGAGGGGCCCAAGTTATTGATGAGTTTCAAACAAATTTCTGCTTTCTTAAAATTTATGCTCTTATTTCCTTAAAAACACACTGTTATTCATTTATGCAGGCAAGAGCCGGCAGACAGGAAGCAAGAGGGTGCTAGGGCTGGGAAGCGTGAGTACGGAGGTGTTTAATGGGCACTGGTTTTTCAGGATGGAAGTTCTGGCCTTCTGCTGTGTATACTGTGAGCATGTGAACACTGACCAGTGGCCGAGATGGCAAGTCTGAGTTATGTGCTGGCAGGCTTCGAACAAGTCTAAGTGCAGCTGAGGCCGCTAGGAACTCATGACTTTAAAATCGGAGCCTTGGGCCCTCCCGCAGACCTTTCTTCCCCAGCTCGAGGCCCGTCAGTGGGCGGGAAGGAGAGCCGAGGCTCCGTCTGTCAGTCACTTCTGGCGAGGGGGGCTGAAAGGGTCCGCGGGTCAAAGGTGAGGGCTGGGTGCGAGCCTCAGCTGTGTCCCTAACCCTTGCTGGGTCTTGGACGAGACATCATCACTTCCTTCCTGTGCAAAGCATTGGCCGAGATGAACTCGACACGTCTCCGCTGGTTGAGATTCAATAGTTCTTTTTTGGGGCAAGTGGGACTGTTTCCTCCTTGCTCTCGGTGCGGCCATTTAGGGAGGATCTAGAGGGGACCACGCCGGAGACTGGCTTTGGGTAGGAGACCCGTGACTAGAGGAATGAAATCACCCTCTTCAGGCACCAGGCTCCGAGATGTGGTGTCGTCCCTGAACGTATGTGGCCGTCCAAGCAGGCTGTACTGCTTGTTCTTTACGGCTGGGCTCATCTCGCCCAGAACTACTCCTTACCCAGGGAGACAGTAAACAAACAGCTGGCCTCTGGGTGTGCCATGCAGAGAGCAGAAGGGGCGCCTCTTTCAAATAGGATGTGTCAGGACCAGCTCACAAAAAGGGCCTTTGGGACAGTGACTGAAGGAGGCCTCAGTATCTGAGGGCAGCAGTCCAGCAACAAAGAGAATACACACGGGCCTCCGCCTCTTTAAGGAAGAGCAAAGAACCGTGGGAACATACGTGATTGGAAAAGTTACTCTGACAGAAGTCTGGTATGCAGCTGATAGAGGAATGCCTACAGCCCTCGCCACTTTGGCTCAGTGGAGAGAGCACTGGTCTGCGCACTGAAGGGTCTCAGGTTCGATTCCAGTCAAGGGCACATGCCTGGGTTGCAGGCTCCAGGCAGCCAACTAATGATTCTCTCTCATCATTGATGTTTCTAGGTATCTCTCCCTCTCTGAAATCAGTAAAAATAAAATCTGATCACTCCCTGCTACACCAGGCCTTCAGGAGGCCCCCCCCACCCCCCCGCCCCAAGGCTTTTTTGCCCTCTCGGCTTGGAGAGCGGGAGACCCTGGCAGGGCCGCCTGCGGGGGAGACAGGTCCGGCTGTGCCGCAGCATCCAGAACCTGTGGACGTGCTTCTGTGGAAGCCAAGACCCTTCCCGTTCCCAGGACACAATCCCGGAGCCTCACCTCCAGCTCCTTCTCATCGAAGTACTGCAGCCACTGCAGGGGCACCACCTCGTTGAAGCCGTCCAGGAAGGCCTGCGTCTGCTCCTGCACGCCACGCGAGAAGCGCCACTCAGTCATCAGCCTGCGGAGAGACGGGTCAGACGGGCCGCAGTGTGGGGAGCGGCTTAGAACACCAGCACTTCTACAGCCTCCACACACGTGTACGTGCACAGTTTTTGAGTAACACGTCCACGCCTTGAGGACACCAAGACCAGCACATTGCAGCTGTAAAGGGTGCTTTTCAGGCGGCATGAGCGTGGAGGTGGGGGTGGGATGGGGGGATACAAGGTGTGGCCACCAGAGGGCCCCTCCTGACTCGGCCCTCCACAGAGACAGCAGGCCACGTGCTGGGACAGACCGTGGGTCCCTGTTAGAGCCCCACGCTGATTTCCTGGAGAACCTGGGGGTTTCCTAACATCCAGAGGAGAAAGCATGGAGGAGGAACAGAGCGCTGGAGGAGACAGGGAGCTGTGGAGGGCGGCAAGAGGAGGCACACTGGCCAGGGCGGGAAGCAGCACCGTGGCCCCCGCTTCTCACCTCCCCTGCTGCTGGAGGAGGGCTGACTCGTTTCCAAGGCAACCTTTCAGCTGCCTCCAAACTTCCCTTCCTCTGTGACTAGGCCCTCAACTCTGCCCAGCTGCACCCACGGGGCTCCGACTGCTCTTCTCGGAGTGACGATGCTCCAAGGCCCAGCACAGGGACAGCAGTCGCCTCAGGGGACACCCGCTCAGAGGAAGTGAGGCTGTGAGTGACCTGGGACAGGCACTGGGATAGGAGGAGGGGCACAGGACCTTAATGACCGCAGGGTAAGAAGAGAGCCCACGGCATGTCTGTTCCAGTCCTGGACCAGGAACTCCCTGGGGAACGCTCCCCTGGGGGACAGAGCGGCAGGGCTGGACTTGCGCCTATGCGCTGGTCTGCAGGGGCCCGAGCTAGACCTGATTGGAGTGACACCGAGGACTGCAGCGTGGACAACTGTGATTTCCCTCGCGGTCAGAAAGCGACACAGCCTGGCTAGGGGCTCAGTTAATTGAGCATCGCCCCATGCACCACAAGGCTGCGGGTTCGGTCCTGGTCTGGGCACATGTGCAGGTCGTGATTTTGATCCCATCGGGGCACATACAGGAAGCAGTCAGTCAATGTTTCTCTCTCCCTCCCCCTTTCTCTCTCAAATTAATAAAAACATTCCTCGGGTGAGGATTAAAAAAAAAAAAGTGAGTGAATCCAGCTCTCCAGAGGTGGAAAAAGCAAGCTACAGAATAATGTATACTCTAGGATCCTATTTTGGAAACAATTATAAAAAGCAAAAATGGCCTGGCAGGCGTGGCTCAGTGGTCAACCTATGAACCAGGAGGTCAGGGTTTGATTCCCGGTCAGGGCACATGCCCGGGTTGTGGATTCCATCCCCAGGGGGGGATGTGCAGAAGGCAGTGATCCATGATTCTCTCTCATCACTGAAGTGTCTATCTCTCCCTTTCTCTCTGAAATCAATACAAATAAAAATATATAAGAAGAAAAAGCAAACACGAAAGATCTCAAAGGAGGAGCAAGGAGGAGACCGAGAACCCAAGTCCGGAAGGAGGGCCCGGGCCAGGACTAGAAACAGGCCCAGGCGGCGGTGGGAGGGCAGGTAAGAAAAGCGCTGGTCGTGGGCCAGGAGCCCATCGGCCTGTGCGCTGCTTTTGTACAGCGTGTGAGCTCAACAGTCTTTGCATTTTTAATTTAAAAAATGGTGAAAATTTGAAAAGAATAATAGTCCATGATCTGAAACCCGATGAAAGCCAGCTGTTGAGCGCACTTGGCGCCTCCTGCCTCCTGTCCGGCTGCCTGGGCTCCCGCGGGGCCCTGTGGCGAGCGGGCTGTGTGGGCTCAGCCTGAAGAGTCGGGGCCGGTTGTTCCCTGGAAGAGTCTGCGTTCACCTGGCTGCAAACGGAACCGTTTCTGGGGCTCAGCAAGGACTCGCACAGAACAAGGGGGGCGGGAGCTGATGCCCCGAGAGCAGCTGGAAGGAAGACGCTGGGACAGAAGCTGTGGTGGGACTCGGCACAGGGGAGGGAGGGCAGCACCACTGAGAGCAAGTGGCGCAGGGGGAGCTGTGGGGTCAGAGTTCAAGAGGACAGCCTGAAACGGCGTGGGAGCACCTGACAGAGCACGAGAGAGCAGGTGAGATGCCCGGGAGATGAGCCCTGCTGGTCAGTCAGGGCGGACACGTCACCCCCACAAAGCCTCGCCCTCCTGTGGGGAAGGCGGAGGCCATGGGCTGAGCACTGACTGGCAGGGGCACAGCCAGGGGCCAGGGGGAGGGACACAGGAGGCGGGAGTGACTGCAGGGCGGGAACTCGTGCTGCTGGGCGCCTGCGGTGCCACGGAGAGAGGGAAGGGAAGGAAAACGCGGGTGACTGGGTGCTCCCCGAGGAGCCGGGGGCGGCGCAGACAGGCTAGTGCCAGTGCGGTCGGGTGCTGTGGGGGCCTCACCCGATGTACTCGTCCTTGTTGTCCTCAGTCACCAGGATGCTGGCCCCTCCCAGCTTCAGGTCGTGCGAGGTCACTTTTCCCAAGATCTCCATGTCCACGGAAAAGTACATTTCCAAGCCACATTCTTCGATGTTGTTGTCTCTGGTGGTAGAAACACACACACTCTGACTAACAAGACGGACAAACTGGTCTCCAGACAGGCCTTGAGGAGAGAGCCCTTCCGACCTTATCCAGATGAGGGAGTTGTAGAACTCGGGGTCAATGGACTCCAAATCCTTGATCGTCAGCTTCTTACTGAGCATGCGCTTGTAGAAGGGCAAGGAGAAGCCAGTGTCGATAAACTTTCCGTGGAAAAGCGCCTGCCGAGAACACAAAGCGTTGATTTGAAGGTTTACAAACGGCTTTCTCACTGAGAAGCACCCAGGAACCGGGGTCCCGAGGCTGCACCTGCTCAGCTGCTGCCTCCCGTCCTGTGAGAGTCAGAGGGGGACCAGGGCTCCCGCCCCCACTAACGCACTTTCTAAGCCGGGGCGCCCCGCACGTCCTGCCTTCCCTGCTCGGCGCCCCTGCACCTGGCTGTGGCCCCAGCTGTCTGTACCCGACCCAGGCCCTGCGGGTCCCAGCACCACAGGGGGAGCTTCCCAAGCCTGGCTCTCGGCCCTTCCAGGGACTTGAACTCAGTGACGCGATCAGCACCTGCCAGGACTGCTGTGGTCCTGGCTCCCGCGGTTCCTGAGTCATCCTGGTGCACCCTGCCCGCACAGGGCTCAGAACCTATGGCAGTCACAGCAGGACCTCTGCCCGGAGCCATAAGCCCCAGGACTGCAGCCTTCTCTCACCTTAGTTAGACACCACACCTCCAAACCCACGCCTGGGAAGCCCAGCTCTCAGCCTCCAGCCTGTGGCCGGCGAGGAACAGGCCAGAATGGTGCGGGGCCACACACAGCGCCTGCCTGGAGCTGCCTCGCACGGGGCCGGCGGTGGCTCTGCTGCCTGGGATCAGCCTCAGAGGGTGCCAGGGTCCCCACAGCTCACGCCCAGCTCCGCAAGGCTCCTCTGCGCCCACAAGCCCCCTAGGTCTCTCCTCTCTCTGCACCATCAGCAGCAGCGGAGGGATGCTGACACCCTCATTCTTGACCCCACATCAGCTCTGTCACTGCCCGCCTCTCTGACCCTCGCAGCAAACTTCCTCACCCCTGTCTGCTCTCATGCCCTGCTCAGACCTGCCGTGCGGCAGGGGACAGTCCTCCCGCTCCCTGTTCCCTGGGCACCAGTCCTACTGCACTTGGCCCCTCCTCCTCGGCGCTTCCCTGGCTCCTTCTCAGGTCCTCGGGCTTCCCATTGGCCACACCCGCTCCCTGGATGTGCACGCAGCCTCCCCTCCTGCCCCTCCCTGCCATCGGCCTGCCGCTACCCGTTCACCCCTGGAGGTCCACCGGTGTCTGACACCCAGCAGACCAACCCGCATCTGATGCCCCAGCTCCCAGGCTTACTCTTGCCAGGACCCAGTACCCTTAGGAAGACGACTGCAAGGGGACACATGGCCTCACTCGACGCCCTCCCTCCCATCCACAGGCCACTCGGCCTCCCTGCCCCGCACTGCCCACTTCGCCTGGTGCCCCGCCTCCCCAACCATAGGCTCCCACCACACCCACAGCGCTGGGTGCCAGCCAGGCCACCAGCTGGGCCACGGGGGTCAGAACTGCACTCCGCAGCCCTGCCCTGTGGCTCCCCCTGCCCCGAAGTTCGTGCTACAAGTTGTGCTCGGATGAGCAGACACAACCAAGGACAGCACATGCCATTTGCTGCCTCTGAAGCAGCGTTTCAGCGACGGAGTCGGCGCAGGCTCACCATGGCGATGAAGCGGCCGATGAAGCAGAAGTAGGAGAGGTGGTCCGGGTTGATGGTGGACGCGGGGTTGATCTGCAGGCAGTAGTTGTTCTTGCCCGCGTACTCGAACAAGCAGTACATGGGGTTCAGGACTTCGTGGGAGAGCAAGAAAAACCATTCCCTAGGGGAGACAAGGGGAGTCCTTGCCAGCGTCCACACGCACGAGGGCTCGAACACACCACACACGCACAGTGCTGCCAGCGGCTGGAGCACAGGGCCCTGCGCCACCTGCACGCTCCTTGTCTGCAGGCCGTCCAGCTCCGCCTCCGCAGAGCCCGCGTTCCCTCGGTCCCGCTCCGCAGCCTGTAGGTTCCTCGCCAGGAAGGCCCCTCCGTGACCCTCACTCACAGATAACGGAGGGCGGGACATACTGCTGTGGCACTGAGGCACTGAGACGCTGCCTGGCTGCTGTGGGACACTTAGTTTACCGCCAATGCATTGAAAATGGAACTAAAATTAAAAGGCAAAATCTTTAAATGTGATAAACATTCTCTAATTTATTACCTTCTGTTTTGCCTCATTTATAAAAGTCTAATAGGTGAAATGCAGCTACATAAAAGATTAATAACTTATATGACAAAGCAAGCTCAATTTCTTCTAAAGCAGCTCCAACCGCAGTGGCTGGTGAGTGGGCAAGGGGGCTACAACCCCCCTCCCCCCCACTGTATCCCTCATCAAAGTTTTATCAGTTTAAAGAACAATGATTTCTGGGCATATAATCAGTCCTATAACAGGCAGAGCGGGCATGGGAGTGAGTGCCCACTATAGTTCCCGCAGCACCTCTGATTCAGCCAATCGATACGTGATGACGTCAAATATTGAGTCTAGTGCTTTTAAAAAAGAAGCCAGAAATCTTGATTCTTAAGCATAATCTAGTAATTTTCTTTAATGCTGTCAAGTAATTTTAAAAGTTTAAAATAAAAATGGGGCTACCCCGATGCAGGCTAGACCCAGCCTGGCAGCCCGTTTACCAATGTTTTTAGGACAGAGAAGGAGCCACAGACGAAATCAGCTCAGAAGTGATAGGAGCCCATTCCTGAAGCTAAATCCAGTCCCTCACCAACTGCGCCCAGCGACTTCCCGCTGCACCAGGAGGGGCCAAGCTGAGAAGGGCTCGGCCCCAGAACCGAGCAGCCAGGTCCCGGCTGCTGTGCGTCACTGTCGGCAAACACAGCTCGGGAGAACAGGGCCTCCACCAGGAGGGCTGGCCCCTGCAGCTGGCCTGGCTGGACAGCAGGGAAGAGGGAGACTAGCGAGAGCGGGCAAACAGCACACCCTCCTCCCGCCCAACAACTGAGGACACACAGGGGCTGAAAGCCACGAGCAGCAGACCAGCCAGCGGAGCCCAGAGAAGGAAATCACAGCAGAGGAGGCAGCAGGCAGCGCTGCGCACGGCGCGGACACAGGTGGGAACACCAAGCACATGGAAAAGCACAGGAGAAAGCCCGAGACCAGAGGAGACGCCACACGCCCAGGACACAGGGACAGAAAGAAGGTTCAAGCACGTAATGGAGAAAACGTCCCTGACAGGAAGGAAGACCTGCCTGTGCTCCTGAGCCGTCTCTATAAAACCGAGACAGTGACATCACTGAACCCCAAGGACAAGGACGAACGTTTCCGCAGAGGGCCCGTGCTGGCAGCCCTCACCTCCGCACCAGAGGACAGGAGGCACGTGCACATGACCTTCGTGCGAGAAAGCCACCTCTGGCCAGGCTGCCATTTGTGTACCAGAGCAACAGAAGACACATCCTGAAAACCGCAGGCCTCAACCACCCTGTGAATTCCGAATAAGCCAAAGCAACACACCAGTCAAAACAAGGAATCAGGGAATAAGAAAAGCATGTACAGAGGGACGGACTACACGCAGTAACGCTGTCAAATGTAAAACTAAACCAACCGAGTTGCGGTGAAGAAGGCTCAGACACTGCCACGCAGTCGGGCCCTTTAAAAACCGCCCCCCCCGTGTCATTTCTGAGCCGCGCCTTCCTTTTCCGTGTCTGAGCGTTTCTGACATTGGGAAACACAACAGACATAACACAGACACTTATTGTGATAGGCAGTGTTTCTTTTCCGAAAAACCTTAATGAGAAAATAGGCTAATTCAACCAAAGCTGATGCCCCCCTCTCTAACTACCTGCCCCCCCGCCCCGGGCACCCAGGCCCATCTCCTGCTGTGGCTGGTGGTCCTGGCCCCGTGGACTTGCGGTCAGAAAGAGAGCTGTTTTTATGAGAGCAAGTTTAATTCTTTGGAAAGACTTAATGGAAGTATTTGCTAAAAACTAAATCACTGTCAAATTAGGTGCACAAAGCAATCGAGGGAAAAGCACTGACAGGATGGCCCAGTCACAGCTTCCCAGTGTCTACTGTTCACAGTATGTTGAGTGAATGTGGACAGCTGAATGCTCAGCAGGACTCAGACTGGATTAGCAACACAAACCAACAGACCGCTACAACAGTGAGCGCTATGGAACAGCCTTGCACGCTGACCTGTGAGTCATGGCACATGTGCGGGAGGGAGCGTGGGCAGGGCAGTGCCACAGGAGAGGATCGGCTCCACCGGGACGAGGAGAGATGTCCACGAGGTAAGCACAGCAGACACAGGTACACATGCAGGCACAGCGTACACGTGTGCGGAGAAACCAGGAGGCAACAGGAGCAACAGCAGTGGTTACTGCCAGAACTGCGCACACATTTCATTTTGATTTCTAAAAATGCTGGATTGCTATTAAAAACACATCTTTTCAAGAACACGCCCCTTGCATAAGTGCAGACACACTATCTAAAAGCAGACGCCTTAGCTTACCTTGCTAAACCACCATAATCAAGTCCCTCCTCTCCTCTAAATATTACGTAGAGTCGCCTCCTCAGGTCATAGGGTTTTAATGCCATAATCTAAAAAGAAGCAGGGACATTTAAACACAAATATGTAGCACAAGTTGCTTCTATAAACAATTCAATGTAATTTCCTCTGTATTTTCAAAATCACACCCTTCCTTATGTCACCCAGCAATGCCCTGCGCTCAGCTCTCCCCTCGGGGTCCCCTCCCCCACGCGCTGAGCGTGCTCTACCCGGGGTCAGAGCCAGGAGAGGAACAGCCTGACCAAGAGCACCTGGAGGCTGGAGACCATTCCTCCCTCACATCCTGCCAGCCCCACCCAGGCCTGGAGGAGGGGCGGAGCCACGGAGGGAGAAGCTGAGCCCTGCTCCCTCCAGCGCCCACTCCCTTCCCAGGAAGGCTCTGCTGGAGC